ATCTCCAACATAATAGGCTTCGATTGAACAGGAAATATTTCTTTCGACATATTTTTTGCTTATTTATCACAACTTACCTCAGCTAGTTTCAAATTCTCTTTGTCCAACTTCTCTTTCATCTGCGTGAATCCTCATTGCTTTTGAAAACTATCTGAGACGAATATCCCATTTTCTGCTAAGGAATCCAGAGTCAAGATCAGTTCCATCTTCTAATGAAGCAGGTTTACCTGAAAATAATATAAGTGATGTTCACAAAAATCATAATACCTATAGCATTTCAGCAGACACCAGCTTCAATTCACAGGTTGGGAGTGGACACATAATCAGCATATAATCTTTTTGCGAGAAATAATATTCTTGAGACTTTCAACTAATGATTCCTGCATGAATCTACTTTTGAAGGATTAACCTTTCATAAAATGTCTGCTACAGACTCTCTGATGGGTACTTCATCTTTGAATCACTAAGATCATCTCATTCAATTGCAGATGACCATATTTCTTTTCTCTTCCTTGATAAGTCACTTCTACTGGTCAACAACTTGTGGGCTACTATATATGGGACCCAGTAAAACCCCACTTCATCCCTGTCATAGCAAGACATCCTACTAAAATTCATGTGAGAAGCATTTCACCTCAGCATAAACTGTAAACTGTGGCACAAGGTCCAGAACAGACAAGAAACGAGTCTAATAGGCACAGAAAATCACAAAATGAAACAGTTCACCACTATAATATGACTATGATCATCAGATAAACTATCACATGCTGATAACATGTAGCACTGCTATAACGAGTGAAATCTTGAGAAACAATGAATGCATGAGACATATATTTCAATTCGAAGCACACATTATTGATCTTACTCAGAAATCCATACTTTTCTTATTAATTATTGTCAATAATCAAGAGAACAAGTCCAACAAACATTGGAAATCACAAGAAAAACATTTTTATCACCTTAGTCACATATGACAATGGTGTTCAGGTTCAGTTAGATTAGGTAAGGTGGCCACCATATGATAATTTATTCTTCATTGATTATTCGAATTACTGGAATCAATTCATTCATTCAGAAATCAGTTATTACATATAAAATGCCCTGAGCAACCTTGTATTTCTGTCTATAAAAACGAAAGCACAGCATACTCATTCATTCCAGGATATAATAATTTCCCCAAACAAACAGATGTTTTTGTCATCTGGAAAATATCATGGATTGTATCAAAATATCATCATCTATTGGTTAATGGAATATCGATATTTTTTCGAACAAGACTAATGACAAAACGGATTCGGTGATTTCATTCCAGATCTAATACCCGTACGGTGATTTATTATAATTCATATAGAACTTGAATTCATACAGATCTTAGAAGTTGTCACTGATATGGAGAAAGCATTGGCCATCGACTTGGAGAATAATCCAATGACAGGTGAACAAAACATGTTAATAATTTCACATAATATTATTCCAGTTTGAAATAACTCTTCCACAATCCACAATATATATAATATTCAAATCATCATCCAAACTGATCACAATATCATGAATTTTCGAATGTACGATCCACTTTTTCTTCCATATATAAATTTGGTGTCCGGCAAATAAAAAAAATGTGAAGAAAACATTTTTTGTTCCGATGTTTTGTTCCAGCAAAGGACCCCGCACAATCCTCATGGAAAATGGCTCTTGATCTAATTGGCGAACATTTTGCATAGGGGTAGGTTTCAACATGCTTATCAAAAGTGTCGATGGGCACGAAACCCCAAATTGAACCCTTGACTCCCACAACCCTCCAAACCGCAAACTTTGCAATAATCAACTGCAGTCTTGCGAAGAGATAGGTACCAACATGTTTGGAATAATTTGCAATAGACCATGCTCCCTCAACAACGGCACTAGCTCCTCCACATCACATACACAGTATACACACCCTCTAACCGTCATCTAGAGTGCCTCAGATATTTCAATTTACGTTATTCAATGAGCATGGACATGCTTATCGCTACTGACATTACCGAATTGTCATCATTATCAGATTTGAAACGTCACTCCTGAAAATTGAATAAGCTTCTTCGCCAAAATGTTTTCGAATATGTCTTGTTCGGCAACGAATTGCAACAATTTCAAGAATGATGGTTACCATGAAAATGTCAGAGCCCCAAGTGCCCAAAGGTGATAAGACATTTCAAGTCTCCGTCAAAGATTCGAATTCTGATATTCATTCGATGGAAATTCAGTCAATGATATATTATTGATATAACTACTTATCAAACTTTATATCCCTTTGGTGTGACGCCACTATGAATAAGGGTTCCAAATAATAATATGTACAATCCCGAAATTCACTGTGCCACAATTAGCAGAAGTTTTGGAAGGAATACATAATATCATGCTGGTCAGAAGTCTCAGTGAAAAATCCCCTACCAACTTTAATACACCCTCCACAAATTCACCTCGCAAGCGTTAGGTCAAGTAAACAGGAATAGGTAATAACATGCTAGACATGTTATTACCTGTAATAGGATATAGTTGACCAGATTTCCATAATTTTTTTCGAACTTCATTCCGCGTAGCAGTCCTTCTCAGGACAGTTTCAAATATGTTCTCACCCTGTTTATACGGTGATCATTTGCTCAATAATTTTTTTCACGATATCAGACCAGTTATGCATTATTTTTGCATACTTCATTCTTTTCAAGTTATTCACTATCATTCAAAAATTCGAAGAAATGAACATCCACCTCCTATTCCTATCTTTCCTAGTGTATACGCACTTTGTTCTTCGAATAATGATAATAATAATTCATTTTTATGCGCTTCAAGAAATGAGAGAAAACACAAGCGGTATATTTCTCTTCCATGTTGTTGAGAAACTATTCTGTCAGCAAAACGAGTGGAACTGAAAGCTATTTGACTTTCCACTATGTGAGATCTAATTGATTCTATTTGGTACCAACAGTTAGCTGGTTCAACGTCATTAATATAACACGGGGACAAAAAATCACTCACCCCTAGTGAATATTTATTAGTGGCTAGCAAAACAAGAAATCAGTTACCCCTAGTGAATATTTATTAGTGGCAAGCAAAAAATTGTATACCATTGACAAGGAACAAGGAAATAACCATGAAGATATTTGTGTTTTCGAAAATGTACACCATTGATTTTCAGATTGATGATCGTTAGCCCACATAGCACTTGTCATTAGTGACTTATCCACTTGTCATTAGTGATTCAATCACTTCTCATAAGTGACTTATTTATTTGCGATTAGTGACTCATTCACTTGTTATTAATGATTTATTCACCACTCATAAGCTAGGGAAACTATTAAAAATTACATAATATATTGTTCTCTGAAAAATGATAACCTTGCTTAGAAGACAAAAACTAATGCATCAAAATCGATTATTGTATAGGTATGATGAATCAAGGAATCACAAAAAGGTAAGGCTGACGACAAATATTGAGACACTAGATACCAGGTATGTCAGGATCATGCTACGAGAGGAACGGTCCATCAGATGCAATGTTACACTCTTTTTTACTTCAGTGATGGAGATGAATAAGTTAAATATGAATTAACTTCCATACTCACTTTCTTCGACTCCGAGTATCATCGGAAGTAAAAAAGAATCATGTATATGTCACAGACGATGTACTGTTCTGAGAAAGGTATGTTGTTCATTATGGTCTCCAAAAGAATAACAGATCAAGAACTCAACACCCCACAGCTCAGAGCGCGGCACACATGCTACATGCTACATGAATACACGGAGGAACGACCTCACACGAAAAACACACACAAGATGGCAGTGTTGCCTCTTGACAGAGCAGAACCGAGAATGTCTGTCTTTCACACATGATTGCGTCTATCATCTCGAAAAAGGTAGATAGTCCTTCCACAAATTCTAGCATTGCCGTTAACAAAACGAAATCCTACTGAGCCTACTCAAAAAGACTGTTTCCGTGACATCAACACTGCTAAAAATACTGAAGCACGTGATCACAAACCAGTCACAATCTGGCACTTGTTTTGAATTCGACCAAATGAAGAGAAGTTTCGCCACACGCGATAGTGATGAAAACAATTGACGATACATGACACACCAGACCTCCACTTGAACATGAATTGCGGACAGGACGAGTACTAATCGAAGAGTTATCGACCAACTTCAACGGTACTCAAAATGAGAAGAAGAAGACCTGAGGTGACATATGGCATTGATATGCGACAATTTGACTTCGGAATTCAATTGAGAACAAACAACGAGAGAAACTGACAATTAGCAATTCGAAAACAACTTCTCAAAGAATCGAATTGAATGAAAATAAGGAATGTCAGAGCGTCTGTACGACTCAACTGGTAAGTAGAATACTTCTTGACACTCGAATAATCGATCTGTGATTTCACCTTATAGTTTGTTTTTGTTTTCAGATTGGTATCAAATAGACATCTTGCTGTTCACTGGGGGTGTTATGAGTAATCTGAACACAATAACCTGAATATTTCCTAGGATTTTCACATCTGTTCACAAAAAGATGAATCTTCATGTTACAGAATATATCTATTTGATCGAATTGAGCAACAAAATACATGATATCAATGAAATATTCGTTTATTCAACATCAAAATAAATTTTTGCCACTTGCTGGCGATCTTTTCGCCTATGCCTGCTTCGAATTCATTCTATACATAAATCCTGATCCTTCATGGTGTCCATGGAAGATTTCGACAACTTCGAATTGATATCGTGGATTTTGGTAATCTCTCGTAATATTTCGTCACCTCTGAGAACAAAACCATCCGTAATAGTGAATAAGTTTGGGTCAGTGACTTTCCCAAAATAATGAAATGGAATTCTTCAGTCAAACAGACCCAATCAACCAGTATTTTGGAAAATAAATGAGACTACTGTAATCTATGCTGGAATTAATTGATATCAGAAAGTTTCATTCCGTCTTTCTGTTTATCAAATTTTTCTTCTTTTTTCAGATGATCCATTATCATTCATTCCAACTAATATGGGGTTCGCGATATTGAAAAATCATTCAGTAGCTGTGTATACTTTTCTTTCAATGGTATTTATTCTCGTCGAGTCCATCAATATTTATGGACTTACAGATATATTATCTGGCAGCTCCGATGATATGGCAAGATATATTCCAATGATAGCAATGATGCAACCTGTGAGTATTACAGGATATTCATCAGAACAATATATGAGGTGTTTTTGATATTGATACGATAGATAAAATTGGGTTCTGTTCTGGCATGATCACAAATTGAAAAAATATATATTATCGAACGTTTGGCAAGATTTAAGACATTTATACCTTCTTGAGTTGTATACGCTTGGATTTGGATGTCAACATCCTATCAATAATTCACCCTAGGTTGAACACTTATATTGGCTGAATATTATATCTAATTTGAGATTATATCGGAAGAATACTCGAATGATGGGTTGATGAATAAAAATTGACTTATTACCCCTCTTGCTTCGATATTCTTATACTCTATTCAATATCGAGTTTGTATGTGACTGTAGACCAAGATACGATGCCATCTTTCAGAAAATGTTTTTTTTTAGTTATCATTCGTGAATTCGATATCGAATTCATATTTGCCTATACCATATTGGATCAAAATAAATACATCTTGCAATATTATTCTGCCATTTTGTCATATTTATGTCAGTTCATGTGATTAAATTGATAATAGGAACCGTTTCATCCGAAATGGGTTTTATATTGATATACTTCATTTGCAGAATTGAGATACAGATATAAAAATTATGTTCGAGGGGATTGTGGAAAAAAATTCGATACCTAATCACCTTGAGAATGATATAGGAGAGGATATTTTCATGATATTGATTTGATATCGGAAATCCGATATCGGTGCAACATGGGTTCTAACATATTTTGATTGTCATATCCATCCAGAAGTGAACTGATATTGGTTGAATTGACGATGAAAATATGATGACAATGTTTGCTGCCAATGTTATGCAATATCAAAAAATAATTTTGTTCAGAGAGAAGTATGTCAAATTGATATTTGTCATACATTTTGATTTTCATTTCAATAAGTACTGAATCTATTGGTGAACTATATTTCTATATATACAATACATCATATTATCATGATTTGAAAGAGAGAGAATGACGAATCTCAATTTCAGAAGGATTCTATCTTCAAATCCTCTTCTTGAATGATCAACAAACATAATTCAATGTTCGACGTTTTCTGTTGAATAATCAGATATTATATTTCAATCTAAAGAAAAAAATGCAAATTCTCAACATTTTTATGGTGTGTGTTCAATAGATATGATTCAATGTTTGTCGTGGTATATAGCCAGGAAAGAAGATGTTTACTGTTGAATATATCAAGAAAAAATCAATATTTTCATCATATGAATAATCCGAATTCTGAATGTATTCCTCAATATTAAAACTTTTTTCATGTTCATAATAGATCTGAGAATATTCCTCTTCTATTTTCGAAGTTCAAGAGTGATATAGATATTGAAGAGTCATTATCCGTTCAATATTGGCACTGGCATATTTCGAACGTTATACATTGTCTTTCAAATGAAAGGTGGCCTCGTTGTTATGGTAGGTAGAACAATGAAAAATAAGTTGGCTTTGCTCAGTAGAAATCCGTTTTCAAGATGAAAAGTGTTATGAAAACAAATATTATATGCCTATTTTATGATCATGTCGAAAATACTGGCAAGATTGTGTTTGTTCTCATGACTATCTGACTGTCATAGAGGTTCGTATCGAGTAGATTCAAACTAACTTATTCGAGGTTGGATTTTTCATTTCATATTTCATGTGAACTTGATAATCAGTCAGTTTCACTCTCGAATATCTGTAGACCCTCCATGAGTGTTCTGATGATGAATAACAACTGATATTGGCTGGATGGAAACAAATATGTAAGCCATGTTCTACAGTTATGATATATTATGAATATTCAATTATGGAAGCAATAAGCAATACATTTTTCATGACATCGATTAGATATTGAGAATACAATATCAGTGCAACATTGCCCCAGGAATATTTTGTGAGTTCATTCAACATTCGACTGACATTGAGAACACATTATTGGCTGGATAAATTATACGAATATAGAAACAATGTTTGCAGCAGTTGTATATTGAAATATTTCGAAATGAGAATATCGATTCGATATTAAAACGGAGAAAATACCAATATCAGTGGAGCATAGGCTCAGAAATATTTCGAGTTTTCTTTCAATGAAACTGGACAGATATAAATGGGTAACTAATATTTGTTGAACAAACAATGCTAATTTGTAAACAATGTTTGCTAAGATTGTGATAGAAGTCAGAATTCAGTAACGTGATTTCATGAGACTGTGAGTTGCATGTCGAAAGTTCATGATGTATTTCGAATATTTAGTTACATGTTACAATCCTCAACTGAATTTTATTATTCTGAGATACATGGATGAAATTCTCATGAAAGAATACTTGCTGTTGTACGCGACAATTCAGAATCAAACTTCATGATTTTGTCCTTGATTGAACAACTTGGAATTATAAAATTCGAGTCGGAATTCCATAACTATAGTGAATTTTTGTTAGCTATCTACTGTTCTATCGTAGCTATTATCCTTATTCATTCAAGATAATCTATAGATTTTATTTTTCAGGGATGTATCAGTCTTATTCTCATTCGCACTTACGTTCATTTTTGTGTGAATTACCAAGATAAGATATTCGAGGAGTTCTGTTCACTGAATAATACAGACACTCATTTCCAGAAGAAACTATCACGTGACAGAAAAGCTGCAATGTATATAAGCATCATCTACTTTTTATTCGTACAAGTCGTCTTCATAGCATTCATGGTTCCTGCTGTTGGAGACGAATATGATTGCATTTATGTCTTCAAAATGATTCAAGATGCTGGACAATATTATGGCATCATTCTCATGATTTTGTTAGCAGTCTGTGTCATCGTTATTTCTGTTGCTACAGCCTATCCTCCTGTTGTTGCTCTTTACTTCGTACTGCATCTCAAGTTTCAGACTGACCTTCTTAATCACTATTTGGAGAAAAATATCAAGAATCTGACTTCAGCTCGAGTGAATCCAATGCATGATATAAAATTTCAGAAGATAATTTATCATCGATTGACAGTTTGTGCTGAATACCACGCAAAAATGAGGAAGTGAGTATGAAAGTATCAATTGAGGTATCATGACTTTTTTATCTCTTGGAGCGGACAAAAGTAAATTCCTATTATGTTCGAAGATTATCGTGCATACCTTGGGAGGATATGGGGAGGAGGTAGGTGTTGGATTGTTTTAAAACTTTTGGAGGTTTTAATAAGCTTTTGGGAATACTTCTACTGTTCATAATAGTATGAGAACTTCACACCTCAATTTTCTGTTCTATCGTTTGGTTTCATTCTAGATTGATATTAACTATACGTATATTGATTTTTCCGGGAATGGCGATGAAAAAAATTTAACATTATTAGTCCAATTGTGTTGCACTATGTGAGAGTCAAAAATAAACAAAACACGAATGTTTGCTACTTCTAACTGAATACTTTTGGTCTTGGTGAACCATGAAATAGTTCGAATAGGTTTTTTCTCCTCTATAGGGGCACTTGAAAGGAAATTCCTATGATGTTCGAACCTAGGGAGAATGGGGAGGAAAGGTAGGTGTTGGATTTCCTTCTGGACATTAGGCGGTTCTTGGGAATGCTTCCATTGGCCAAGAACTCCAAACCATTTCCGTTCTATAGACGAACAAGTTTTGGTGAAATATTGTTCGACATACTTTGAGGTCGACAACGAAACGATGTTCTAATAAGGTCAAAGAATTGGTGAGTGTGGCATCACCACCAGGCGAATGGCTCTTTTCTGGATGGAATCTGAGAGCATCACATACACTGTACTGGTGCTCAACCCCATATTTGAAAACAGTATTCTTGAACTGGCCAAATCTGTGATTTGTAGATTTTGGAAATTTGTTGAGGTGTGAAGTAGATTTTTGCACGGAATCAAAATCAGAGTTCATTTTAAGCAGCTCTCGCGATGGAACCGACATAACTTTTTCATAAAAGAGTATTGCTGATGGAAATATCTAGCATTGATATTGGGGTCTCGTGCCAATGGTGGTACCTGAAATTGTTATAACAGGCATACTGAGTTCCGCTTCTTTACAAAAAATACTAGCTTGAGTTTTGGTGACGTTGAATAAAATTAGGTTGTCGATTCCATAGGCTGGAATTTCAGCAAGATCGTCATTGACAGCGTTGACCTGCCTTCGTGGTAAGTTCTTTGTTCCCTGGGAACAAATAACAGATCATTGATATGAAGGATGAACAATGTTGCGAAAATAAATCCATGTGGAACGCCAGAATTGGTGTCAGACGATACTCCGTGAAGATGGCATACCTGAGGTGGTGAGCAGTATGACGGTAGTTCGTGGAGGAGTCCTTTTTTTCTGTTTTTCCAATGAACCCTGGGTGATACGTATGCAAGTGAATCTCTAGTTGAACTTTGGTGCATTGTGAAGGCTTTTTTCATTAGTTTGGTGTTGACTGATATAAGGGGAATTGGCTTATAGTTGTTGGGCAGGTTTCTGTTCACCTTTTTGGGGTTTGGGGATTGGTTTGTTTTTATAGCTGTTTTCCAGCAAAATGGAAAAATACTCGATTTGCACGAGATGGTGAATATTTTTGTTTTCATCTCCTGGAGCGTAGGAAAGGAAATTTCTAAGATGTTTGTGGAACATCGTTCCTAACTAGGGAATGTAGGAAGAGGAGATAGGTGTTGAATTGTTCTTTGAACTTTTGGAGGTCTTGAAAATGTTGGAGATACTTCAATTGGAAAACTCTGTTCCATAGACGAACGAGATTCGATAGAGTCTTGTTAGACATATTTCGGAGCTAATGACGTGAGGACGCGCTGATTGAAACTGGCAAGTTGGTCTGACTGGTATTGCTATTGATGGAATGATAGCAGAGATTTCTGAGGAACACTTCCCGTAAAAGTATCTATAGAATAGTGGAAGGTTACCGACTTCTCTACGATGATCTGAAAACTGATTGAAATTGTTCTATCCGTCATTTGATTGCCTACTCACGAGCAACGCTCAGAAGTTTCAAGAGACTTGTGCGAGCAAGGAATGACGAAGGCATTGCTTTCCAGCGTGTGATCCCTAACACTTTCTAAGGCCATCAGGGAAATTTCTGCAGCAGGGAATTGTACCCACACCGGCAAGTGAACGCGGCTTAGAATATACTGATGCTTCTACCACGAGGCAACCTGGCTTCTTATGAAGTTCAAGAGTGAGTGAGTGTGACATCACCCACCAGGCTGATGACTCTCCCCTGGATGAAATCTATGAGCATCAGCGTAGGTTTGGGTGCTGAACCTCATACCTCTGAACAGTATTCTGAAACTGGCTTCATCTGTGCTTTGTAGATCATGAAGACCAAGAATACTAGTTTTTGTGATGCACCATCTGTGATAGATCGAACATGTTTCCTTTCGATCATAGATGTAGCTGCAGTATCTGTAATTTGACTGTGATATCCGCAAGATCTCCATAGACAGCATTGGCCTGTCTTCGTGGTAGGTTCTTTGTTTCCAGAAAAGAAATGGGAATTTTTGAAGAGAACACAGTATGGAGAGTACTATCATCTGCAAAGCTGTGGATAGGGCAAGTCTTTGCTCCCATGATATGGTTGATATGAGATAGAAACGATGTTTGTGCCAAAATTGATCCTTGTGGAACACCGGAATTGATGGCAATGGTATCAAACAATACTCCGTCATCACCTGAAAGATAATTCGATAAAAGATGGCAGACTCACCTGATGTGTTATTTCTCATGATGATAGTTTGTTGAGCAGCTATAGATTTTTTATGTTCTCCAAAAGAAGTAGACAAGTGAATCTCCAGTTGATATTCGGTAGCGAAAACCATAATATTGTCTATGATTGATGTTTCCTGGGCATTCCAGATATTTGGTGAGCTCAATGTTGATGACTTTCTCTATCACTGTGGAGATGACTGATAACAGGACAATGGGCCTTTTTGAGGATAATGAGTCTAGGTTAGGTAGGGTTCCATGTAAGTGGAAAGAATACAACTTCTCCACTAAGACCCCATAAAACTTTTGAATATCTCTGAAGGAGAGAATCCAAGAAAATCGGAAGGAGCGAATGTACCAATTCCTCGCTCAACCTATCTATACATAAGTTAGGAAGTTGAACATACATGCGTCCTCTCGAATTTATCCGATTTAGTGTCTTTGAGTTTCCTACAAATTCGTCAAAAACAAGAAATGTGAAAGGAATGATAAATAATCATTATAGCAAGGGTAGCCAATAACATAGTTGAATTAAACGCCACCAATACTCAAGCCTGTATTTTCGACAAGAAGGTGAAACTCAGTATATCTGATATAACAATGTCTGGTACCACCATTCTCTCCAAGACAACTATATCTAAAATGATCGGTATTTCAATCAGCAATACTCTTCCATGGGAAAATCATGTCCGATTCATCGCGATATCATCTTCACAGAAACTGATTCTTATTTCGTCAACTTCATTCCTGGAAAATTGTTCAACTACTCTTACACATTGGAGATATTCCCGTCCAACTAGAAAATTGCGAGAGTACAACCAGTTCCTGAGAAAGGCAAAAAGACCCTAACTAGCAAATACAGATCGATCGCACTGCTTTTTATTATTTCGAAGATCATGGAGAAAGCTATCAACATCGAGCTCATGAAATACCTGGAACATTCAGGTAATATCATCGATAGGCAATATGGCTCCCGGCTTTCTATTATTTCAAAGAACATGGAGAAAGCTATCAACATCGAGCTCATGGAATACCTGGAACATTGAGGTATTATCATTGATAGGCAATATGGCTTTCGTCATCAGAGATCAACTGGTGACCTGCTCACTCACGTCTCACATATATGGCAGCAATCTATTGAAAAATATGGTGAAACCAACCAAGGCATTCGATCGAGTCTGGCACCACGAACTCCTCACCAAGCTTCCATCTTTTGGCTTGCCTCCCCAGCTATGTCATCTGCTAGCTAGTTTTCTCTGAAACAGGTCTCTCCATGTAGTGGTCGACAGAGTTTCATCTGACTCTCTTATCATAAATGCTGGTGTTCCACAAGGATCAATTATAGCACCAACACTATTCCTACTCCATAACGATATGTTGAAAGCAACTTCATGTCCAGTATACAGCTTCGCGAATGATAGTACCCTTCACACCGCCTTCTCTTCCAGGGCTCCAATAGCAGCCTGGCAAATAAGAAACGAACGAGGGGAGAATGTTGACAACCTAAATATGGACTTGGCAACGATTATCGAATGGAGATCCAATAGCTTGGTAAAATTCAATGCAATCAAAACACAAGCATGCCTTTTCTCTAGACAATCTCACTGTGCCAAAAATAAGCTTTTCAGGAGTAATCATACCTTCGAAGACATCCATTTCGATGCTTGGTATTACTATCAGCAATAACCTTTCTTGGAAAAAAACACGTGAGATCGATTGCTAAAAGTGCATTCCAAAAACTTGGTTTTGTGTTCCGGACCAGGACCTATACCACTTCCAGTTAGCTGCTTATGATCTATGAGGCACAGATTCGACCTGTCCTGGAATACTGTTTCCATATTTGGAGTGCAGCACCCAAACATACCCTGAAACTGTTGGATTCTATCCAAAAAAAGGGCAATTCGTCTCGTGGGTGATGCCTCGCTCACAAACTCACTCACTTCTCTGGAACACCGTAGAAAAGTTGGCGATCTGGCTCTATTTTATAGATATTTCCATGGACGAAGCTGTTCTGAAATATCAACAATTGTTCTTCCTTTGGCAGTCTCCACGAGATTAACCCGTCGAGTTGAGGCTTCGCACCCCTTCGTGGTCACTTTGGAGACCTGCAGAACATCTCTTTCCAAAGACTCGTTTATCCAACGAACTGCAAGGCTCTGAAACACATTGCCATCGGTGGTGTTCCTCGAGGCATATAATCTCCAGAAATCCAAGCAGAACACCAATTCCTACCTCATATTTTTTGGTTCTTACGATGTTCTCTGAACATTACAGGATATTCGTTCTCGTGAGAACCAGAAAAATTATCTACAAAGCACATATTCTACCAGTTTCGGAATACGGTTCTGACATAAAGAGATCAGCACGCTTACATACGCTGATGCTCTTAGACTCCATCTAAAGAAGAGCCATTCGTCTTGTGGGTGATTCCACACTCACTAGAATTTTGACCCCAGAACACCTCAGAAAAATCGGCGAACTAACATTTTCCTATAGATATTTCCACAAGAAATGTTCCTCAGAAATATCAGCTATCATTCCATCATTAGCAATACCAGTCAGACGAACTAGACATGCCTAATTAGCACATCCTTCCGTTGTCAACCTTGAGTTATGTCGAACAACACTTTACCGAAAGTTGTCCGACTACAAAATTCTTTGCTAATTGAAGTATTCTCAAGAAACCTTCAATAGGTTTTGAAAAACCTACCTCCTCACTCTTTCCTCTCTAGATACGTACGATGTTCTCTGAACATCATATTAATCTTGTTTAGTGCGCTCCAAGAGATAAAATAAAATTGAACTGATTGACATGTGGATAACTACTCCTACTTCAATGCACGAACTGCCTATATCTCTGACCAGTACTGGGCTCTGAAGTTGAACATATCCACAAAAATGATTGGTTCATTCGTGATTATATTATATTCCACATTGACGAAAGATATTATTTTGAATAACCATGGATTGGAATCTGATACTCAGAATTCCAAGATGAATATCAATTTGCTGATGGTGAACAACCATGCCATTCAATAAAGGCGAAGTTGTTTTAGGAAAACTACCAAATTGTCGTACTTTTTTTATAAATAATCAGACTAACTAGGTACAAAATCTCATATGGAGTTCAAGAATATCCTATTCACATAATTTTTCATTACAGAAATTTCACCGCTGCTTCATTCCTAGTTATTCGGAAAGCAATACCTGCATTTTCATCATTCATTTTGTCAAATGATGACTGTAATTTTTGTGTGATGGAAATATCACTTCTAACCCTTATATTTTCTGATTGATAGCTGGACATTATTAAATAAATGCATTTTTCTGTGACGGGAAAATTATCCCACTATAGTGAATTTTCTATAGCTAGGAAGTTTTCGTCATTTCATGAACTATTTGTTCATGAGGCATCCACTTTCATAATGGTTACTTCGAATTCACTGTTCTGAAAGGGGGACACGCCAAAATGGCACTCGAATCTAGTGGGTATTTATCAATAACGGAATGAGTACTTCCATAGTGACAATGGGTTCATATTTCAGTTCCACAGAACAGTAATTATCGTAATATTTAGCAAAATATGGTGAGAAATAGTTATTTAAACACCAAGGTAGTGAAAAATATCATTATATCCCTGAGACCAAGATTATATCCCGAAGCTTCAGCCGAGGAGTATAAGGTCCCGTGGTGAATGATATTCTTCACTTCCAAGGTGTATATTACATTTTTTCACCACAAGCAACATATTTCAATCATCATAGTTCTGTTAAACTGAAATGTGGACCTATGTCACTATAAAAGCACTTCTTTTCAATTCTGATTACAATCTAGTCACCATGACAGCATATGACAAGTCGTTATTCTCATCGTTATTGATAAATACCTACTAGATTCGAGTGCCATTCTTGTGTATATCGCATGAGACCAGTGCATTCGAGTTGATTATAACAGAGGAGGAAGAAACTTTATTTCCAAATAGGCAAGCCTTATTTAAACATAGTTAACATATTCTATTTACACATACTTTATACATAAAAATCAAAATATTTGTCTATTTCAACAAAATAACAATAAATTTAATAACAGAGAACTATATCACATGAATTCTATAAAGTGATCTATTTCATCTATTCATTCTAACAAAGTCGTAGTTAATAATATATTTCAAATATAAGTTAGCTTCAATTCAATTTGTTGTTATGAATGTTATCAACTCCCTCTTGAATAAACAAATGGAAGATGAATTTTTTATATTATTTGGCAGTTTATTAAAATTATCCAAACCGTTGAAAATTAATGAGTTCATACAGCTTCGTGAATTTGTCCTTGGGATGTAGAAATTGGTATTCGATCTGGTATTATGATGATGTACTTCATTGTTCGTGATTAGAAGGTTTTCTAAATATGTTGGTTGCAATTTATTTATCATTTTAAATATAGATATCATAGTAAGATAGTAAAGTCGTTGAGGAACTGTAAGTCACCTTAATCTACAAAGCATATCTTGTATATGTGTCATTCTATTGCAGCGTAGTATCATTCGCATTCCACGATTCTGCAATTTTTGTAATTGGTTTAATTTGTTCTGATTGATAAGATATAAGAGAGTACCGCAGAAATCATAATGAGGTTTTATTATAGCATGTTATTATGGCATACATTGTCAAAGATATGTTAGTGGGAAAAGGCTTGTACAGTTTGGATGAATACTTTGCCTACAAATTCTAGTCTTTCTATGATATGTGAGAATAATTAGAGATTCATATCATTGATTTTAAAGATAATTGTTGTTTGTGATAATAATGAAACTTGTCTATGTTATTTTATTTTATATATTTTTGTTCTGTATTATTTTTATATATTCCTGTTCTGTTGGATTTATTTATAATCTTGCAATCGATATATCGCAAGATATTGACTTTGTCGACAAAATGTGTTCATTTTAGACAATAAAGCTCATCTATTTATCTATCTATCTATCTATCTATCTAGTGAAGATGACAAAAATGAGAAAATGAGAAAAAATACAGTTTTTTTGATATTTTACTTATTACATAGTCAGCATGATCATTCAATGAAATTGTGTTATCTACAATAAATCCTAATACTTAAACTTACTCACAATTTCTACATCATTTTCATTTATTTTAATTTTGACTTGATTTCTTTCAATGTAATGTTGTTTATATTTTGTTGTAATGATCATCGCCTTAGTTTTATTGAAATTTAGTTCCAGTTGATTTGTTCCAAGGTACAACTCAATATTTTTCAATGAATAATTCATCTTTTCAACAGCGACTTGCAAGGTATTATCATAGGTATATATCAACGTGTCATCTGCAGAAAAGTTAATTACGTGATCTCCATGTACGTAATTGATATCATTTATATAAATTAAAAAGAGGAAGGGCCCTAATACACTGTCTTGCGTGGTACTCCAAGATCATTTTTCATATTTTGCGAGTAGCACCCATTAACGTTTGTTATTTGACTCCTAAAACTGAGATAACTTTTCAACTATTTCAAAACTATATCACCAATACCATAATATTCGAGCTTTTGGATTAATATATTTCTGTCTATTGTTTCGAATGCCCTTTTTGAATCCAAGAATGTAGTAACAACGTAATTATCTTAATCAATTTTATCTTTCCAATTTGATATTGTATACTGTAAGGTGGACCCACACGAATGTTTTTTTCTGAAGCCTGACTGACAACCACAACCTAGGTATAACCCGTTTTCATCAGAGTATTTGACGAGTACCTCATACACTGCCAATTCCAAAACTTTTTCAAGGGTTGGAAGAGTATTGATAGGACGAAGATTACACGATTCTATAGTATTATTTATTTTCGGTATTGGTATAACAGTGCTTGTTTTGAAGTGTTGGGAAAATTGTCCAGTTTGAAGAGACGTATTTATAAAGTTCAGTATAACATGTCCTAAGGTGTCGAATGTCTCTCTTAGAAATTGACTGTTCATTATCTCAGATCTATTAATCTTATCTATGGAAAATATTATATTTTCCAACTGCGACAAATCTAGCTGTTTAAATGAATTCAATTCATACAATCAACTATATCAATACTGTTTGAACTCCAGTCTGAATCAGAATTTATATTGTTCACAATTTCACTGATACTATTAACAAAATATTCATTGAATCCATTTGCAATATCAATTTCTATGTTACAAATTCCCATTTGATCGCCGAGATTGAATATACTATCCTTTCAAAATAATAACTTCTAATTGGATTCATAAGTGATTTCAAATATTTCCACATTTCTTTAGCATTATGTTTATTTTCATCAGGTAGCTATGTCTTTATTGACAAGTGGTTAATAATATGACGAAAATTACCTCGGAAGTAAAAACACACTTCACGCCTTCAAGGGGAGTGAATGATGATAGGTTATATGGCTAGTGGTGGTAAAAACTTGATATCCACGTTGGTAGTGAAGAATTCTATTTCCACTTACCTTATATTATCTTATATCTCATGGCTGGCGCCTCGGAATATGATCTTGGTCCTTGAGTCATAATGATATTTTTCTTCACTACCTTGATGTTCCATAAATTAAATCACGAATTTCATGATTAGGTACCAACAGAATTTATCGTCGCCATCCCACTCCACAGCTCTGCTACTGTATTTATCTACTTGTCTCATGTTGACGGGAGGACTCTTTTTCATAATCGCAGTGAGTATCACTACTTTAATATCAATATCAATCAACACTCTCATCATTTCTTCAATTGTAGGAAATCAGTGCATCTAGCAACTTCAGAATCTACCTCTCTTTTGTCAGTGGTGCCGCCGAGGCCTTATTATTCACATGTAGTGGACAAATCTTGGTGGATGTGGTGAATAAAAAATAATGATGATAATGCCGACATCTTCATATGAATTTTTTTCAGTCTAATCGATATTATGAGATATTATGTGAATGTCCATGGTACAATTGGAATATAAGGAACCGAAAAGCATTGATGATGATGTTAGCAGGTGCAGCTCAGCCATTCAAAATCACATTCTTTGGTATAGCAGAACTGGATTTCGGATTCATATTGAAGGTAACTATTATTTTTTCAACTTTACGAACTTCTTCATAATTGGAGATATAGGAATTGAAAGGTTTGAAACACACAAAATCATCTCCACAACGTTGAATAATCGAGAGGGGAATATGTTTTAGACAGTCATGTGTCCATTATCAGCCTAAATCCTTACGAACCGAAGGTCCTATAATATGAATACAAGTTAATTATACAGAATCTAACTTTTATTTTTTTCAAATGACTTTTGGCCACTCGGCCGGCAGGCGCACGGTCCCCTGCAATGCAATTCTGGAAGTGAATTATGAGACCCCATATTCCACTCCTGGCTCTTAGTCTATCAAGTATGTTCAATGGTATCATATAGGTTCATATTGGTGAGATATTATGTAGAATGCTCTTCCCGAGTAAACGTGTCTTCAACATACTACGATGACTTGTTTCACAGTCCGTGATAGTTGACAAGTCGACATTGTTGTTCAAATTTTCATCTTCGTCTTGCGGTCTTAGGAATTCTAGGGTGAAGTTTCAGGACTGATCCTTCTAAATTTTTATTCTGCTGATGTGATTATCACTGTCCTTTCAAGATCAAATTGGCAATAGGAACTCATTCATTTTTGGTTCAGAAAGTATCGCACGTTCAATACAAACATTCCAATGGAAACGATGACGGCAATTGGAGGGAGAAGGATACATGAAATATTGTCTCTCATGATCAAATAACGGAGGCGCTGAAGGAACATTAATGATTTTCTTCTTATCAACACGGTCGGTCTGATTCAAACTCGATTAGCCAGAAACATACCAAATATCTCTGTTGTCTCTACTCATCATCACTAATTGATTCATTCTATGGAGGAGTCTTCGAGTTCTCGTCTCTGAAGCTCGATTCAATTCAGCAACATCATCCAGCAGCAGAAATCGTCATCATCATAGCTCATACACTCTAACAGAATAGATGAAGCTTTTGCCATCACTCACGGCATTCAGCAGCAGATAACGGAATAAACACATATTTCTGATGTCAATAACCATTCAATCAACTATGTCGAATTATTTCTCAAAGGTAGATTTTTATGGTAGATTTGATGAGGTGAAGCCTTCACGTTTTTGTGTGATTTGTCTGAAAAATCAACAATCAACTAAGCAAAGAACTGGCAGCAAATGTTGTAAATGTGATCATTGCGTGATACATATAATAATTTACTGGAGTGACATCAACGTGGCTTAGTAGTACAAATTTAATATTTGTCAAACTCACCCAATTGTAGCTATGTACGCACATACGCACGATGTACGCACGCATGACAATTCAGCTGATCTTCACTCCAGTGGTACATCTGTGTACAGGGTAACTCACGGTCGATGGTACGTTAGACGTTTATGGAGAACGGGACATAGGATCATTCTGAAATTTTGGTAACTTACGTAGTTGCTTTTGGTCTATCGATCTAAAAACTTTTCAGCTCTGCGGCGTTGCCGCTTCTATCGAAAAATAGCAACAACTTTGTTATTTTAAATGGAACACCCTGTATTTTATTGCATTTCCAGATTTTCTCTGAAGAGCTGATTCTATCGATTTATCACACTTGGGGTCTAGCGGAAATGATTACAGAGATATAGGGTGTGAAAAATCGTAATTTTTCAACTTTAGGAATTTTTTTGTCGAAACTATTCATTATTGGTCAAAACGGCTTACATGTCCCTATCTCAACTTTTGATTAACTATATACTGATATTTAATTGGGACATATACCGGGTGATCAAGATTCTGAATTCTGCACGACCCTGTATTTGTTTCAATTAAATGTCAGTAGATACTTGATCAGAAGTTGGAATAGGGACATGTGAGCCGTTTCGACCAATAATGAATAGTTTCGACAAAAAAAAATTCCCAAAGTTGAAAAATGTCGATTTTTCACACCCTATATCTCTGTAATCATTTCCGCTAGACCCCAAGTGAGATCCATCGATGAAATCAGCTTTTCAGAGAGAATCTGAAAATGCAATAAAATACAGGGTGTTCCACTCAAAATAACAAAGTTGTTGCTACTTTTCGGTAGGAGCGGCAACGCCGCAGAGCTGAAAATATCTTAGATCGATAGACCAAAAGCAACTACGTGAGTAACCAAAATTTCAGAATGATCCTATGTCTCGTTCTCCATAAACGTCTAACGTACCATCGACCGTGAGTTACCCTGTATATTTTCATGAATTGAAAATTTTTGGTGGTCTGGTCTTGACTGGCTCTCATACTCAGGTGACCATTGGCCAGATTTTACATATTATGTAATTCCAAATGTTCTCGTCTATACATCATTATTATTACTCAATCGTTATTGAATTGATAAATACAACAAAATTCAACAAGTTCTTAGAGCTCAATGAATTCTCTACGTCAAACATATTGGAACGCTCATTCGTTTATATACTCAGATTCATTCGGAATACAAAATCGAAGAATTTCAGAATCACAGGTCCTTTGACCCTATATAGAAGAGTTGAATGATTCATTGTATAAATTAATTCATTCAACACAACCTCGAGCATATCCTATTGAAATGAAATAGTTGAAATCAGCCCACAACGTGTTATTTGTGTCTCATTTCTCCACACTCAGCACAATAAGAACTCCTCAAATCCCAACTTCCATTACACGAATATGAGCTTGCCGAGACTGAGAATCGTGGACCAATATAGCTTGGGCCGGCATTATGTATACCCTGAACAAAATGATTGGACCGTTTTTATGTAATTTACGAAGGAAAAATACTTTCGTTGCTAATTCTGTTGTTTTTGAAATGAGTTATGATGAAGAATTGATCCTTTCTCTCCCATTTATATTAAACAGGTCAGATTATTTCATTCAGGAGTTACGAAATGGCATCTTCTTCACTTTTATTTATCATAAATCACCATCGCCGAACAGTAACGAATGATATTCTCAAAGAACATTGGTTTGTAAGCCTGTGAAGGTCAATATACAATTTATATACTCGGGATATTTTGCACTTCAAAAACATACATCCTCACCATTTCAGAGTTGATTAAAACTCTATTCATTCAATAACATCATAACATGGTATAGTTGCAGTCATTGTCAAACTTGACTTGAATCAATACTTTGGTACACCATGGATGAGTTCAGTTATGATGAGAATGCTTTATTTGTAGACTAGCAGGAACTTTCATGGTGAATAACTCCGTGACGAAGTAGGATACACTCTTTTTATATAGACACTTTTTTTATATGATATAATATACCTATATCATTTTGGCTCACCCTATTAGCCTCATCATTCACGATAATACCTTTCCGGAAACCCTGTATATTTGTTATAAAACGTATGATATCAACCCGACGGATATGTTTATTCCAATATTTTTCCTATTATATTGAAAAAACCCCAATGCGGAGCTCTAAGTGTAAGTTATTCAACATATTGATGACTTTTTGAGAAACTTTATTTTAAACTTCATCACCCTTTTACTCGGAAAATGAGAATTTCCGGAATGTAATTCATCATCATCACTCATTCCTTTACTTCACTTTGAAGATATTCTCTATGATGAACTGTTTAAAATACCATTCCTTGCAGGAGAGACCTCTAGGCTGCGCAGATTACACATGTTAATCGAACTAGTCTGTGGTTAGGCATCACTCATAGACTAATGACTCCCGCTAACGTACAGCTATTGTTAGGTATTGATATTTTGATATTGTTTCAGCTTTCAAAAACAACGTACAGTTTACTAGCAGTTGCTAGAAATATGAAGTAGTTGATGTTTCATCAAGGATTCATCATTTGTAGCATGATTGTCAACATCAATCAGAATGTTGTAGCAGCACTGGAGTATACTATCTCACACGATTCCTATGAAAACTTGATTTCAAAGTACTACAGATGAGGAATAACAATTTTATTGTATATTAACGATTTTCGGAATACAATTCCCTTCGATTGAGATACGAATTATTAGAATACTTGTGTGCGATGTGATTCCTTAGATGGTTTCCTGAAGATTTTCTAGGTAGAAGAGTAAACTAAAAAAACATCACATTGCCGTTGTTTTGTTTTTTATTTTTGGTCTACAACATCGCTACATCTCTGATCTTGATATGACCAGAAATTTAGGTCTCATTCCACGACGTCATAACGATGTAATATATTATGTTTTAACAACGTCTCTATTATTGTAGTTGCTTCTTATACCCGCTAGTCATACCTCACTGGTTCTCGCTACATAATTTCAGATACAAATATGATATGCTGATGATATACTCATAAAGGGATGCATATAGGTACTGATGATAGCGGCAGGATTGAAGAGTACTTACTACCCGAAGCGATCATCGACGCCCTTGCTAATGCACCGAGAGTGAAGCCAGCGACATAGACCGTCACAATTCTTGACCTTGTTCTAGTTTTGATGAATATGCATTAGGAAGATTCAGTATTCCATGGACAATAAGTGATGGTGTTTGAAACTGAACAAGAATTTATTTGACATTTTTGTGATCAGAAATTTATATATTGTGTAATGATATTACATTTGAATGTTCCGAATATGTACGTGTGGAATATGATGAGGTAAGTATATGGGATCATTGGAATAAAATAGAAGGTTACTCATTTTATGACAGTGATGAAGACATTGGTGGGCAAAAAAGAGACAGTGGGTGAGATGTAACTTTTGACATCGGTTTATTGATTGTTTTTACGAATTGATGAGGAGCATTTCGAATTGCCACTCACCTGTTGAACCGTCGTGGTTCTGGTAATTTTTGAAAGTGTTCTTTTGGGCGGCCGCCTTAGGAGCAAGTGCACTAACTGCACCTCTGTTTATGAGTGGAGTTGAACTCCACTGAGTATCTTTCACTATAGTAAATAGGCGTTGAGTTATTAATTGATTTAGAGAGAAGGCTGGAATATCAAAAAATGGCACTTCGTATCGTCCGTTCTGATCTGATCGTTCCGAACTACTTCTCGTAGTATGCGTACTGGGCACGATACAGGAAACGACCACATGATACCTCCTATCAAACAAAACGCACATCTCAAATGAAAAAAAAAAAATTACCAGAGAAGATGTTCAAACCATCCACCATCTACAATTATACACGATTTTGCACGTTTTCTCTCATTTTGCAATGACTCTTTCCAAACTTAGTCTTCAAATCAGTCCCATATAGAATAGATAAAGATTTGTAGGGGGTCATGAGTATCGATTGGCACAGTTTCATAAACGAATATTTTTATTTTGCACCATGATAATCAGTCCAAGGGTGAGAAGTCTAGAGAACTCACTAGTCAACTTTCATCACCACTATTCGCAATCACCCTAGTAGAAAACATTGCCGACCAATATTCTGTAACCCTTCTCGCACTTGCACCATATAAAACCATAAAAATCACGTAGGCAATTGGTATTACTATTGTCATAGGAATAATCTGTCAGGAAAGTTTCTATGAAATCAATAACCGTTTCATCGAGTTAACCAACTGATAACTTCACCTCAATTCGAGAAACATCGTGAATCTCGAGGTAATCGAAATGTTTATCCTTGAGCTTGAATGACGTGCACCCTGTATATATCGATGGAGTAGTTTAAGTAACCCAAACTCTACCTGTGTGGTTGAAATACCGAAGGCAATCGACCGTGTTTGAAGCCAAGAACTGCTCCACAAACCATTATACGGCTTACCACCTCAGCTGTGCCATTCACAACCGTGTTTTCTGTCAGGCATATCGCTACATGTGGTAGTATCGTCTGATACCATTGTCATCAATTCTGACATTCCACAAGGATCAAATTTTGCACCAACATGGTTCCTTCTTCATATCAAAGATCTATCGGGAGCATTGAGTTGCCCTATCCACACCTTCGCAGACTCCATTTCTCCCCAGAAAACTAGGAACTTACGACGTAGGCAGGCCAACGCAGTCAATGTTGATCTCACAGACAGGGTAACCATCAATCTAGTTGAATTCAGTGCCGCCAAAACCACAAACCACCAACAGAAGCAGAACCTACCTATGCTCGGTATCATCATCAGCAATACTTTTCCATGGAAAAATCATGTCCGATCCATCGCAAGAGCTGCTTCATCAAAACTCGAGTTCTCGTTCCGTGCGAAAATCTACTTCACACATCAACAGCTCTCCATCCCAAGAAACATTTCAAATGCCTGATAGCCTGAAAGCCAGATCGTCAACTTTTCTACGGTGTTCCAGAGAAGTGAGTGAGTTTGTGAGCGAGGCATCACCCACGAGATGAATTGCCCTTTTTTTGACAGAATCCAACAGTTTCAGGGTATGTTTGGGTGCTGCACTCCAAATACGGGACCAGTATTCCAGGACAGGTCGGAACTGTGCATTATGGATCATAAGCAGCTGACTGGAAGTGAAATAGCTCCTGGCCCGAAACAGAAAACCAAGTTTTTGGGATGCACTGCTCGCAATAGAACTCACGTGATTTTCCCAAGAAAGGTTATTGCTGATAGTAATACCAAGCATCGAAATGGATGTCTACGAAGGTATAATTAGTCCTGACATGCTTATGTTCGGCACAGTGAGATCGGCTTTTCTAGAGAAAAGTTATTGGATTCCCATTCGAGAATTGTTGCCAAGTCCATATTTATGTTGTCAACATTTCTCCCTCGTTCGTTTCTGATTTGCCTGGCTGGTATCGGAGTCCTAGAAGAAAAGGCGATATGGAGGGTACTATCATCCGCCAAGCTGTGTACTGGACATAAAGTTGCTCCCAACAAATCGTTGATATAGAGTAGAAATAGTGTTGGTGCTAGAATTGATCCTTGCGGAACACCAGCAATTATGGTAAGAGAGTCAGATGAAACTCCGTCCACCACTACATGGAGAGACTTGTTTGAGAGAAAACTAGCTAGCAGAGAACATAGCTGGGGAAGTAAGCCATAAGATGGAAGCTTGGCGAGGAGTCCGTGGTGCCAGACTCGATCGAATGCTTTGGCGATATCAAGTGCCACGGCTAAGGTTTCACTTTTTCTTTCTCAAAAGATTGCTGCCATATACGTGAGACGTAAGCGAGCAGGTAACCATTTGATCTCTGATGACGGAAGCCATATTGCCTATCGTTGATAATACCTGAAATAATAGAGAGCAGTGCGATAGGTCTGTAGTTGCTAGGTAGAGTCTTTTTGCCTTTTTTAGGAACTGGTTGTACTCTTGCAATTTTCCAGTTGGGAGCACATTTCTTGAGAACAATCGGTGGGATTTGGTCGGAGTCACAAGCTATGTTGGTGTTGAGACCCAATAAAAACTTCCTTATAGTACGTTGGTGAAAGGTGATCTCGGGCATATGACTGTCAATTGGCGTTATCTTTGTAGGTTGTTTTCCCGATGAATCCATAGTGGAATTTCCAGCAAGTAAATGCGCAAAAATGGTGTCTTCCTCCTGGGCAGTTGTGGCTAGTGTTCCATCTTTCTTGGATAGAGGAGGAAACGAGCTGGAAGTGAAGTTTCTTCCTACAGCTTCGGCGAAGGACCAAAATGAACGGGATCCGTTAGGACATTCAACAAGTTTTAATCTTATTTTAGCATTATGGAATCATGAAATCTATATAGGATTCATAATGATATACATATTCGTATGGCAACTTCAAGCGAAAAAAATCTAGAGAATTACTCGAGAATCAAAAATCAAGTCGAGAGGGCAACAGTAAATCGGAACTCTCAAGCCCAAGCAATTCCAAACACTTCGTCTTCCGATTCATCCTAACTGAAACCACCAAATAGCATGAATTCATCAGGACCTGATGTTCATGAAGTACCATCAACGAGTCAGAACGTAATGGAAAATACTTCTGATATATCTGAATGGAAACTAGGGAGCGAGGAAGATGACAACAGTTTTGCACAAATTATGTCAGATGGCGAGTTTTGCAAGAATTTGAGAGAATGGAGCATTCGACACAATATCAGACAAACTGCACTAAAAGATTTAATCTTATCAAAAAATTCATGTTTGTTCTTCACTGTAGTTTGTCTTTGTTTTCTACTCGGTTTCCTCCTTGAAACCAATCACAAAATTCACAAACTGAACACTGTAATCAGCAAAAGTAGGGTTATGTTGATCATGTTGATGACGTTCTTCTACTTTTTGCCACACTGCCCAATGAGTACTAGCCTGGCTATTCTTAGAGCTTTATAGTTTCATGGATGCCTCATCTTATATCCTTCTTGTATCACTCTTACCATTTTCGAAGCTTTGTTGTCATACCCAGGAAGAATTAGTCATAAGAATGGATTTGAATATGCAATGACAGGAGGAAGTAACAGGAGGGAATCGTGTCATGAAATGCCTTATCATTACCTTAAGGTTTTGATTGAGCATTAGAGAAATAAAATTGGTTTTGAGTATAATTTGCGCCATATTTACTACAGACAGAAGTTGGCTATTGATGGAAATGAAAATTTCAAGCCAAAAATAAAGAAGATTCATTGATATTGCCGTCGAAAATATCGTTTTTCTACATTTTTCAACCGACTCACCCATATTGAGCAAACATTCATACAGTTTTGTCAACTTTTTCAAGAAGTTATCAAAATTTACATCTGATTCTAACTGGTAAAAATACATTATTTCTAGGGTGCAGCTTTTTTTAAGCATATCTAGTATGTTTTCATCAATAAAAGTCGTCATTGTTCCCATTTAACAGCCAATATCTTCACGAAAAAGAATATTTGATACAGTGGGAAATCATCATATCATACCGCCATGTTTACTCTCTTTTATAACAATTCATTGTTTTCTCTTCATTTTTCCATGTTCGTATTATGATTTGTTCTGAAAGAAGACTCTCATATAAAACGTTATGGACTATATCGTGGGCGTACAAGCAGAATCATGTAAGTCCAGAAAATAATATAAGGAGAAAAATGCAATTGAATATTCGAATCAACCTGTAAAATTATAACGAAATTGACTTAAGTGGATTTTCATTGACTATATCTCCGGAAACAAACACAAAATGGACTTGAATGTTTATTTGCCTGGAGGCTAATATGGACTTATGTGTGA